GTAGAGTAACGCACTTGAGTCCCTTCTGCAATGCACCCGCGCCAAATTGGCCAAAAAGCAGCACACCCGCGCCGCGCAAAGGTGCGAACGCACCACTACACATAATTCACATTTGAAATTTTTTTCTTGCCTTTTGGAGAGCTTCACCTATAAAAGAACCAATAAGCATGACTAAAAACATTTGGAGGCGAAGGTATCAGAGAGAGAAGAGAGCTCTTGAATGCCACAAGAGTTTTCTTTCTCCTTCCTCGAGGGAGTATAGCTTTAAGGGGTTTTTTTTTTGTATTTTCCTTGGTGTGTTTAAGAGGAATTGTAAGGGAGAATTCTTTGCTGGCGTAATGAGTATTTCTGAAACGAAATTATTATATAACATGATACTTCAATTGTGTGGAGAGTGAGTAATTTATATAAGTTGTTTGCCTTCAGTAATATATTGGTTTTGTGTGCTTTCATCGAGTAGCTAATTTTCTTTATGATTTACTTTTCAATTATGTATTGATTTTACATGTTTTCAGAGATTCGTTTTCTGACGCATGTCGAGTAGCTAAATTTTCTTTATGAGTTGTTTGTCTTCAAATATGTATTGATTTTGCATGTTTTCAATGATTCGTTTTCTAATTTATAACACATGTTGAGTAGTTAAATTTTCTTTCATGCTTCTATGATCCAAGGCTAGTGTTCTTCGTGATTTTTCTTGTATGTGTTTTCCTCGTAACGTATTTTGCGCGTATCATATTTGCATGTTGTTAGGTTAACTTTTTGATGTTCGTTTACTCTTGATCTGACCAATTAAAAGTTAAAATATTTTATGAATTATGATTCCCGCACATTGTGTTATGGAGCTAGTAAGTTGAAAGTTGACCACAAAAACCTAGTGAAGTAAGCATATGATAATTAAGGTTTCGTAATCTATAGAAGGAATTTTTAAAATCCTGAAAAATGTTGTTTGGTGCTTACGAAAACACAGACTTATTAAACTGTATATTAAATATCAATTGACACATGCTTGCGTGCTTAGTCACCTTCCTCACGGCAACTTTTCAGCCATTAAATTTTCATACCTTATCTCATTTAATCTTCATGTTGCGGAGACTTCAAATTCAACACAAATGCATGGTTCATTAGATTAGAAGATGTAGATTAAGAATGTTTTCAAGCTTTTATGGCTTCTACCTATTATGGAGCTGATATTGCACGAATTCCTTTGCCACGAAATAAAACCATTCTTATTTGTGAAAACAAAAAAGAACATTGGATTTAACAACAACGAATGAATAAATAATATATTGATGGAAAAATGCTAGTGTTTAAATATCATCCTTAAGATAAGCTTTTAAGATGATAATTGCCCATCTATTAGTGTATCCTAAGACAATTCTACTCAGTTTATAAGTACTATCAAAGTCAATAGTTAATCTAAAAATGATTGTGCAAGCAAGTTACAACTATAGTTTTTTTTTTTTTTTTTTTTTTTTTTTTTAATTAAGTACAACAATTGTTAAAAAATGAATGGCAATAACACAATACATGAGCATTGTATTTGTCACCTTATTAAATAAGTAATAAAAAAAATGTTTCTATGGTTGAGCTTCATAGAAAAAATAAATAAATAATTTTAGAGACTTTTTGAAAGCACTATTAAATAAGATCTATCATTGGATATACTAAATATAGCCAAACAGTTAAATGCAAGAGTTCAGCGGCTTTGTAAATTTTCAAATTTAGCAGGCCCAATTTTTGTCTTTGATTTGGCATAAATCCATATTTAAAAAATTTTGGGGCTGGGTGGATTTAACGGATTTAGGGATTCCTATGGGCAGCCAAACAACCCCTCAGATTGAAATGGTATTTGGCCACTCGTATATAAAATCTAGCATTGAACACTTAGGGCACGCTTGGGGTAGCTTATAAGTGCAACGGCGTTTTCAAAACGCCGCCTACCTGTTTGTTTCGCACGTCCCGAGAGATTATATGAAAATAGGATTTAATTTTATCCATTAGACGCAGATCGCGAGGTTATACTCGCGATCCGCGCTCGCACCCAGCTTTCGTCCCTCGTTTTACGCCTCTACCTCTCTCGCTCATGAGAAAACCTAGCCCTCGCAGCCTAAGCCCAGAAGCTTCACTCTCCTTCGCTGAAAGCCATTCGTTGCTCACCGTTGCCGAAAGCCAGGCTCGTCTCTCCTACAGATCCTTCGTCGCTCTCCTCCGGGCGCCCTCCGTCCTCTTCTGTCGAAAGTCAGGTATATTCTCCCCTAGCTTAGTCGTTGCTGTCTTGTTTTTGGTTGTGACCGGAGCTATGATTTTATCACTTTACTATTGACATTTGTTTGTTGGAGGCTCTAGGATAACAAGTCTTAGCTTTACTGCTCGAAGTCGTTCGTTGCATTTTACTAGCATGCCTCTTTTCTATCTATTTAGTTGTAGAATGTGTCTGCTCCTTTATTTAATGGCCGCATCTCTGATTATCTTTGAGGAGGTTTTTGTCTTCATTCAATAATAAAAAATGTCATTTAATTGTGGTTGCTACTGTTCCTTTATCCAAAAGAATTTGGATTCACAATATTACTAACTTTACTAAAAAAGAAATGCCATTTAGGAAATGCCATTTGATTATCTTGGCAACAAATTATTCAAAAGCAAAAGGAAAACACTTCAGTTTGAGCTGTTGATACAAAATATTAAAAATAAGTTACAGTCTTGGGAGAACAAATTTTTATCTTATGGGGGCAGAATGGCCTTGCTTAAGAGTATCCTTACATATATACGTCTTTGTACAGTCCAAATTTTACAAATCCCTTCCACTACAATCAAAATAATGGAAAGAATGTTTAATAAGTTTTTCTGGCATGATAAAAGTGCCAAAATCAGCTGGAGCACCTGGAGGAAAACTTGTAATTCAGTTAATCGGGGTGGATTGAGGTTCCAATCTCTCAATGACTTTATGGATATCAATTTCTTAAAGCTATGGATGAAAATTATAAAAGCCGATTCCTTATGTGCACCAATTCATGGCTGCTAAGTAGTGTCATAAGGACGCATTACTTGGATAGCATTGCTAGTAAGCTTAATTTCTACAAGCCTACATAGTAGGAAGAATGCACATAAACATCATTAGATTTGTTAGAGTAAACTTGAGAAACATTGGATCAAGATAATGTAGATGGGAGCTCCAACAAGGTAACTTGCTTGGGGGTGGTGCACATAGAATTTATTGGTAAGCTGCTACTTTTATTTTCTTCTCCAGGAATTGCTAAATCTCCTTTGGTTCCTGGAATGAAGCCACACTCACTGCTATAAAGCTGTCCATTGTGTTTGGTTGGAGATCTGGAGTTGTGTTGATTGATTCACTTATCTTATGTAAATGTCTTATGGGTATCTCTAACACTCCTTAGTTTATTAATTTTGATGCTAATTAGATCCTCTCTATTAGTATAAGCTGTCAAATAAAACGGGATAGAGAAAATTAATAGTATCACATTGTAAATGGGATAAAGGTAGATCTTCATTTTTGCTGGATGTAATTGTTGGAATTCTGTACCCTGTTATTTCCTTGCAGGTACTTAAAAGAACCTTTTTTATTTGCCAATTTTTTTCTTAATAATTATAGTTTTAGAATCCAGTAACTTTCTATGCTAGAGCACTCAGATGCTGATTTTTGAGCTAGGTAGCTGCTTTTAGCATGTTCTTTTGCTTCAACATAGGACTACATTACTATATTAATGCAAGCCATTTCACCTGATACTCTGTAGTTGTATCTTTAATTTTCATAATTTATCATCAGTGGTGAGAAAAGTGGGTAATAGTGATGTGTTCAACGCTCTAGAATAGCTGACATTTGACCTAACGGGGCCTGAAATAAAATGCATACCCGTTACCAACCTTATCATCTATGGTTTTATTGAGAGCCTAGCCTATTGTTGTGTTGAGCTCTTAGCAATTTGGTGAACTAAAACTTCTTTGTTTCATCGTTAATATCTTTTCATGCACGCTCCACTCCATATGGCCAGGGAATAAAAAAGACCCCCTCTAGTTTACATTGTTCTTGTTGTGTCGTAATTTGCGCTTTGGACTCTTTAAAAAAAAATTTGCTAATGGAAAATGATAAAGGCATCCTTACGGGTATTACTACACCTGGGACTATGGTTTGCTGCTTTAGCAACCATGTGTTTCATCAAATTTGCATTTTTGTTATGTAGTGAGGATATGACAAATACAAATACTTTAAACCACCATTATAATATGCTTCTTTGAGCTTAATAAAATTAATAGTATCACTTTAATTCGCATGAGATGTTACTATTACATTTTAAATTGAATGTTATAATTCTGTTACTAATTGTAATTTCAATATATATTTTGGTTTTAATTTGGTATCTTGAACTTTATTTTAAGTGAAGTGTGCTGCAAAATTTTGTATTGTTATGAAATTACAAAAATGTCATGCAACAAATCTATATATATGTTTTTGTACTTTGTGTTAATTGTGGTGACATGTAAATTTGTTATTTAATTAAATTTAAATTAATTTATTTTATAATTAGTGTAAAACGTAAATTATTTATTAGAATTTATGTTACGCAGAATTTAAAAATAATTTTTTGAGAATTAAAATTGAGAATGTCTGAATGAAATTTTGCATTCAGTTGTTTTTCAAAATCACAAACTAAACAGTCAAGCAGCTTATCCAGAACAGCGGCAGAATTGTTATTTATTCAAAATAAGCTGTTTTTCAAACGCAAAAACCAAACAGTCAGTCAGCTTATCCGGATCAGCTGCTCATCAACAGATTATCAGGATAAGCTGTTTATCAATATAAGCTGAATAAGCTGCAGCTGCCCCAAACAGACCCTTAATGTGCATTCCTAATATTGTTGATATTCGTCTTTCAAATAATAGAAACACTTAATATGTAATAGATATTTTCATACGTTTAAACTATTTACTAAAATCATGTGAAAAGTAAATAAAAAAATTGGAAGGGTTCCCGGTAACCTCACCTGATTAAACCCATTCTTCTCAATCGCCCCCACGATCTTCTCCAGATCAAAACCTCCCCTTGACGTAACAAGGGCAGTCCCTCCCCTCAGATGCCAATTATCAACAACCTTCGGATTGAGCTCCACAGTTTCCGCTGAATAAAACCCTCGGTACCCGGATTGCACCCCAAAGATCTTACGAACGCCATAGAGGTCCCAAAGCGAGACAACAAGCTCTCTTATAACAGTATTAAGCCCAGGGCAGAGGCCGCCGCAGGTAACGATGGCGGCGCGCACGGCGCCAGAATCGAATCGGATAAACCGGCGAGGACCAGCACGGTGATAGGCAAGGAGGGGAGAGGAAGAGGAGGAGGAGGAAAGATCGAAGATGATTTGGCGGAGAACGACGTCGGAGGAGGAGAGGTAAAACGAAGGGCTAGGGTGATAGTATGGGGATTTGTCAATGGGGTTTGGTAGTGTTGGGAGATCGGGAATGGACTCAGATAGATTGGGGATTGCTTGGAGTTCAATTGGAGGGAGGGAGAAGGTGACGATTGGAGAAGAATGAGATTCCATGGATTGGTGCGCGGGTTGAGAATGCGCTGTGTTATTAGGGCGATTTCATTATAACGTTGTGGGGAGCGATACGGGTTTTGATAAGGTGCCGCGTGGGAGATGGAGAGAAAAAAATCATTAGCGCTTACAAGTGGCAAAAGTGGAGACAGAAGGGCATGCTGCGCTGCCGCGCTACAGAATGAGAGAAAATTATGCTTTCAATTTTTAATATTTAATTAAATTTAATAAAACATTTATTAAGTAGTTCAAAAAATATAAATATTAGAAATAGAAAGTATTATGAAATTATATATATTTTTTGATGTTACATATTCAAATATCCAAAAAATTAAATAATTGCTAAATAAAGTAACTGAATTTAATAGAATTACAATTTTACTTTCCAATCATAAAAATAAGGATAAATTTTATAGGTTTTACACAATGTAGATGTTATAATGCATCACAAGATAAAGTGTGAAAGGAAAGAATTTATTTTAGAGATTAAAAAAAATCATCATTATATTAATTTTTTTTATAAAAATTAACGTGTTTTTCACTAAATTTTAAATAATTTACAAGAAAATTGATGTATTTCAATTGTATGTAAAAATGAACTAATAATTTGAGGCATCTCGATAGTAATTATCATATTCAATATATTGTTATAAGTCCATTTTTATTGTTCAAAGTTCATCTTCATATATGTTTGAATAGTCAATATGTACCTTCAAATTGCTTAAATATATGAAAATATTTACTACCTCGTAATGTTCCTATTATTTGGTCAAAATTGAGTATGTGATTTTTTTGGGCTACATCATGTCCTTAGTATTAATAAATTTCATTTGGTCATTAGTATCATTTCTTTCCTTTTATATGCTTCCTCATCTTTTTTACTTGAAATTATTTGATTCATTTTTTTCTCTTTTTTTGCCTCCCTCGTTTAGATCTTTTTTCCTAGTTTCTCCTTCCTTACGTGGTATACTTTTATATTCACTTTGTACTTATCGGTATTTTCTACCTTTAGCATATAAATATGAGTGTTATTATATTTTAAACGCATATTGGATGGATATCATATTTTGTGTAATTTCTCTTAGACAAGCCTACAACTTTACCAGGAGACCTTCCATGTGTTAGGAGACCAACCTCACAATGAAGTATTTTTCATGAACTTGCTTCTTTTATTCATCAATATTTTCTTCTTTCTTTGTGGCTATCATCTATCTAAATTCTCTCTTTGTTTTCGTTAAATTAGTGTTAATTTTCTTTCTTAAGCATTAGTTAACATTATTCATATCATCATAGCTCTATAATACTTAGTAATCCATCCTTGCTTTTATCTTTTTTAGATTTCTAATATTGTTGAAGTATTATGGGGTTCTAACTTTTAAAATTATGATTCACTCGTAAAGCTCACCTGCAATGCTAAGTTGTTTGCCTTAGGATAATGCTTATTAATTTCTTACATGATATATTTGAATGAAAATGGTGAAGGAAAATTCATGTTTCATTGATAAAATAACTTTAATTAGTTTGCTCTTAAATCCTTTTAGTAGTAAACCAAATTAACAATTTATTTACTTAAACTTTTAAAATTTGGCATAATGTTACATCATTTGTTCCTCCAACAACATTCATAGATTAAACCTTGACCTAATAATAGACATTTCTACTAAGTTCATCTAGTGGACTACTGACATGATAAAATTCTCATTAAACTGAACAATTAGAAGGTATGGGCATTCTTCATGGTTAAAATTTTGCCAATCTCTATTATATGATAAATCCATATAATCTTAGAAAACCTAACTCTCAGCCTAATATATCTAAACCATTATAAGTTTAAGTAAGTGTAAGGAGCTCCAACTATTGAGCATATTCCACCATATTTGTTTAAGCCACAATAAATTAGAAATAATCCATTTATATTAGAACAATTTTATGATTAAATAAAAATGGATGAATTTTTATATTGTTAATCTAGTGAATTAAAGGGCTTATAGGTTTGCCCGTTATTCATCAAATTTGACATTTTATTTAAAGCAACATCTTCATCACTTGAAGAAGCTTCTATGAGATTTCAATATTTATTTTGTAGCCTCCATGTATTTCAATTATAATTTAAATCCCTGTCACATGTTAAAATTATGACCTTGTTAATGACATCACAAGAAGGGATTAGATACATCCTTATACATTTGATGTTTTATTTGGACCAAATGTGTTCTCAAACTAGCATGATAATGTAGATCAAAATTTTGGTTAGATGATGAAGTTTGATGACCTTCACATTATGTTTGTATACAAGAGATATATAATTTGTGAGTACTTTTGAGCCATCAAAACTATGAGCCATATCTAATGTGTGAGTACTCTTGATTTGATGATTATAATTCATATGTGGAGTAAAATATATAAGGTTTGGTAAATATTTATATATGTTATAGCATTATTTTACATTAACAACTATTGTGATGATGTCATAATGAGAGGCCACCTTGCACCTTTGCTTACATGGGAATGAACAAAAAAGAAACTAAAACCATGTGTTATTTAGAGTAAAGTGTTGCTTCAACTTGATGTGGGCCTAGTGTCTTGACCTTTAATGTCATTACAAATAAATTATTTTGATAAATATTAAACTACAAGATAAAGAATGAATAACCTAAAATATAGATTAACCAAAATATACTATGAGAATTTTATTAAAACAAAAAAAAACAATTAACTAACATATACTTCAAATGTATTAAAATGTTGATTAAGCCAAGGTTTACTTGTACAAACTCAAGTGAAAATTAAGAACATATTTACTAAAAATGTTATTATATATAAGATATATTGAAATTGATCTTTTTATATGTTGTATGATAGTATAGTACAATGTGTATTAATTATAATTTAACTTAGTTGAATCAATCAATCAAAAATATTGATTAATTTGATCCATTTATGAATTTTATTGCATGATATATGTATTGTATTGCATGATATTTGATCCATCTATGAATTGTATCGCACGACATATAGATTAATTTGGTCCTTCCTAGCTTTCTTACCGATCCCAGAAGTTTTCAAATCTAAAATCTTTCTGTCTTAGAAGGGGTGTAAGTCCTTATGCTTTCCTGTTGAGCACAAATGTTTTCAAATCTTAAATCTTTCCATCTTAGGCGGGATGTAAGCCCTTATGCTTTCCTATCGAACATAGATGTTTTCAAATCTTAAAGCTTTCCATCTTAGGTGAGATGTGAGTCTTTATGCTTTCGCTCCGAGAATAGACGTTTCCAATCTTAAAAATTTCCGTATTTAGTGAAATGTAAGTCCTCATAGTTTCTTAACAAGCATAGATGTCTTCAAATCTTAAAAATTTATGTCTTAGGTGAGTTGTACGTCTTTATGCTTTCTCTCTGCGCATAGACATTTTCAAATCTTAAATTTTTCTATCTTCGGTGGGATGCAAGTTCTTATGATTTCCTGTAGAACATAGGCGTTTTAAATCTTAAATCTTTCTGTCTTAGATTGGATGTGAGACTCTATGCTTTACTCCTAAGATGAATATCATCCTATATTTCGTCTGACAATTTTCCAAGCTGAATGATATGCTCTAGCGTTGTCCTTCCTGATCTAGTCATCCTATTCAATTGTTAGGTTAAATGTGATTCCATAAGGTTTTCTGCCTTAATGTGTTCACGTAAATCTAAAAATCCCTAGAGGGAACTAAAACTATAATCCCGAAAAATATGAACACAAATTTTCTAGTTGATTGTTTCATTGAATGTCAATATGTGTGTCATACTTTGAGTAGTTTATCACACATATTGGGAGTTCATTTGTTGACCACATTTATGGGTCACATGCAGTTTCATAGTCATATAGAGCTTTAGAAAGGTCCTAGTGCCTCTAAGTATTAATATCAGCACACTTGCCTCTTTCTGGCCTGACATGGTTATACGAGGTGTTAGCCCCCAGGTGGAGGGAACCGATGGAACTCTAGAGTGAGAGCTAGTATCTTCCCTACTAGCCGGTCTTTAGAACTATTCAAAATTTAAATTAGTCAATGTTCTTTATAGCATCTCAAGTAAGGGTAAAGAATATTATTGCTCCTATTTGGCACAACATAATTTGCATACTTCCACAACATAATTCCTATACTTATTACTGATTCATGATAAGATAAAAGATATTTTCATATCAAGTGCTTTTCTTTTACATAAACTCAAGTTATCTTTAGAAGTTTTACTGTTTTGTCAAAACATCAAAAATACCAAAAAGAATTGAATGTTACTTATCGAGAAAATATCTATAATTTAAGTAACTGCCTTTTTAAAAATAGAAAGTTTGTGCATATTGCATATTTCCCTGTGGTCTTCCCTATGGGTTCTATATTTATGTCTTAATCAAAAAGTCTTATATTACTTGATAATGATACGTATACTTACGTAGTATCCTAACATATATAAATTAAAAAGTTAAATTCTTATTTCCTCAAGGATCAAGTTTTTGGTTCTGTTATAAAGTAAGATATCATAAATGAAAAAGATCATTAAAATCATTATTATATTGTGCACATAAGCTGTAACGGGATCAAGTTTTTGGCACTGCTACCGGAAAAGATTTTAAAATGTAATTGAAAGCAAAATTTCTATTTTTAAAAAGTCTTATTTAAACTTTTAAAAAGTTATTTTAGGAATATCTTATTCAAGTATTTTATTTTATGTTAGTGTATGCATGGTTCAGGTTCTAAACGACTAGTGCCCTACGATTCTGAATTAGAGAAAATTGTTAAAAAAAATCAAAAAAGCCAAAAAAAATTTAAAATTTTGAAAAATCTAAAAAAATTATAGAAATGGCAAACCAAAATGATCAAAATGCTGAAATTCATCAATAATTTAGACCTTTACGAGATTAAGCCAACCTTATGGTAGATGAAATTCATTGTAGTATTCAAAAATCTACTATAGTGACTAATTCATTTGAACTTAAACCTATTATTATCCAAATGGTATCAAATAATCAGTTTGGGGGATCATCAACTGAATATCCAAATTTACATCTTGCCAATTTTTTAGAATTGTGTACTATATTTTAATATGATGGTGTATTAGATGATGTCATAAGACTTAGGCCATTTACTTTCT